ATCGCGAAAGATCTTAAAAGGGGCCACAGGAAATCCATCAGGCCCAGGGGCTTTGTCTTTAGCTAGGTCGTCCAAAGCCTTAAGGATTTCGTCTTCAATGAATGGACATTCTAACCAAGTTGCATGTTCTTCTGAGAGGGTCAGAAAATCTAGGTCAGCCATAGCTGGTCTAGGACCAAAAGGAGCTAAGTATAGGTTCATGAAAAAGTTTAAGAATGCTGTTTCAATCTCTTCCGACTGGTCTAAATGAAGGTTGTCAACCTTGATGACCGAGATTGAATTGTCCCTCTTGCGACAGTTAGCAATCCTATAGAAGAAGCGGGAATTGTGATCCCCTGTTTTGAGCCAGTTTACTCTAGATCTTTGGTACCAGTAGATCTCTTATTTTTTCAAGGTGGAAAGGTAATGAAGTTCAGTTTGGATTCAGAGATCACCTTCAAAAGAGGACAGAGGGCGTGATTCCTCAATGCTATAGTTTCCCGAAACAGAAAAACGCCAGGACTTGAGAGAGGTTTTAAGAAGTTGAATTTTCGATTGCGGTCTGGACCCTGCTCTACCATTCACCTGAGTATTGAAGGAATTCCACTAGGTAGGGATCAGAGTTGAAAGGGACCTTTCCTCAAGCAGGCTACTCAAATCTGAAGGGTTTGGGTTCCCTATAAAGAGGTAAGGTGGACAAAAGAATGGGGCAATGGTCAGAGACAGACTTAGGTAGGGTTGGCTCTGGGCTCTTAGTTTTGGTTAAGGCTAGAAGAGTGGGACAGTGTTTGGAAGTCAGGCCCTTGATAGCCTTCCTTTTCGAAGGTTGACCCAAACCTCTAAAATTCCAGGTAACTATCTTCATGGTGAAGGTGAAGAGTAGGGGAGGGAGGCGATTCTGGGTGAACACCTCAAAGAACCGCCTTGGGGGGAGGGAGAGAACCCTTCAAGAGTTGAGGGTCCCTAAATTGATAGGGAAGAAAGAGGTTGAGAAGCTCTCTCTTTCCTTTGAAGCCCACCTTCATAGGACTCTAAGGGTCGGCGAGCAAGAAGCGATGAGCCAGTCCTTCAAGGCCATTGTATTAGAACCCCATCACACGGTATATTCTTTCATCCTTTCCAAGTCGCGGTCAGGTCCTTCCCCATCGACCCCCTCGGCGTCAGGGTCCACCGAGGGGAGAGAGAAGGGCGTTGAAGAGTCCACTGTTGATCGGTTATGCCCATCCCCGTCGACCCCCCCGTCTGAAGCCAAAGATGGGGAGGGAGAGATGAGCTCCACACAATCCTCGGACAGATCAGACCCCTGCAGCAAGGTTGAAGGGTGGGGGGGGAGAAAGAAGGGTAAAGATCAGAAGGGAGAGAGCAGGGGAGGAGAAGGAACCAGAGGGGGAGGAGAAGGAGAACGAGGAGACGAAAGGGGAAGAAACTGAGGAACAGGGAGAGGAGCAAAGAAGGGAAGGGTAGAGACAGGAAGGGTGGGAGGAAGGAAGGAAGGAATAAGCAGAAGGAGAAAGAAGGGGAAAGGGAGGTGGAGAATGGAAGAGAGGGATAAGCAAGGAAATGAGAAACCTGAACGGAGTGGTGGGATAGACAGAAGGCCCCCAAACAGTGATGGGAAGAGAGGACCCTGTAAACCTTAACAACGTGAGGGGAGAAGACAGCGGAAGAAGAGAAAACTGAAGCAGGGCGAGCAAAGGAGGGAGACTCATGGTCCCAAAGGGAGGTGGAATAGGCCATGAGGGGAGAGCAGGACGAACCGAAGAGGAGAGAGAGGGATGGGCAGACAGGGTGTGGAGAGGCCCAGGGGAAGCGCAAAGCAGGGGCAGGGGAAGAAGGGAGGCGAGAGAAGAAGGGACGGAGGAAGGAGAAGAAGAAAAAGGGGGATCAAAAGAGACAGATGCTGGCTGCAGGCCACCATCAGGAGACGTCCACGAGTCAAACCAGGGGGGAGGCGAGGGGACGGGGGAAGGCTCGAAGCCAGGATCGGGATAAGCGAGTGCAGAGGGCGAGGAAGCCGAGTCTGACGGAGAAGAGGAAGGACCCGGGGAAATAAATTCTGAGGGGATGGGGAGGGGAGGCGGCAGGCGGCACAGGAAAGGAGATGCCAGCTGGCAGCGGGGCAGGCCGAAGGGTAGCAGATGGCGAGGCAATCGTCAACGAGGTAAGTGGGATGACAGCTAGCAAACCAACAGGCGAGAGGATGACCGACTGCAATGAGGTAGGCGCCACAGGAGACGTGACAGAGGGTGGCACAGCAGTCGACCCAAGTGACGTGGCAGACAGTGCAGCAGTCGACCCAAGCAACGTGACAGACGGCGCTGTGGATACGATCGGCCATTTCTCGCTAGCAGCCAAAAAGGCAACAGTAGGGGGGCACGTATGAGCAGCAAGAGAGGGCACAAAGACGGAAGGTGAGGACAGACCAAAAGCTCGAGACGCGCCCCGAGAGCGGCCCTCGACGGGAGCAAAAAATGGGCTCTTTACCGAGTCGTTGGGGCACCAAATACGACGGGGAAAGAGAACCCGGAGAAGCAGCAGGGGATCCCGAAGGGACGGAGGGGGAAATTTGGCCAGGGAGAATAACATAGGAGGGAACCTGAGCTAAGGCAGAGACCATAGGCCCACGAGCTAGGCCATTACGCGTTCTCATGCCCTTAGCCCAGCAGAGGCCAGGAGCTCTAGTCTGCCAGACGAGCTCCAGGAGGGCGGAGCCAGGACGCGAGAACGGGCCAAGACGAGGTGGGGTTGCGCCTCGCTGAAGGCGCCTCCTGCGTCGGTGGTTCCTGTGGAGAACAGAAGTCCAGGCAAGTGGATCCAAGGGCTGAGAGATGGGGGAGGAAGAGTTGAAGAAGGAGGAGGGGGGAGAGGTTGCCAGCCAAGAAACCAAGACCCAGAAAAAAAAAGAGATTGAACTTCCAGCCATACGCTAGAAGGGATTAAACTAGGATCCAGAACTTCAATCAGCAACCGGATGGATCCAAGGGGAAGAGTCTCAATGGATTTCCAATGGATCGCCACTAAATCTCCGCAAGCTTCAGCTATCTTAGAGAATGTCACTTGAGACCACGCATGGAGGGGGATATTATCGAGGTTTAGCCATACTCTCTGTGTTTTGTAGGCTCCAGAAGAGGCAGACCATGCCGAAAGCGAGCAGGAGGCCCCATGAAAGGTGGAGCTTATCGGGGACTTAAGAGCAGACTGCGCCATCTCCAGGGATGGAAAGGATAACAAAAAAGAACCCCCTTTCAAACGTCGGCAGGTGATAGAAGGTTCGTTCTGGCATTTCATAGCCCAACGTTCTATACCTCTCACATCGTCCCGTAGAGGGCAGAAGGAAGGCACTAAAGAGGACCTAAGCTTGTCTTGCAATTGGGGGGAGGTCTCCAAAGGAAGGGAAATGAGACAAGGAAGAAAGGGGGAACAAAAAAGGGAAGGGGAGCACAAAGCAGATGGAAGGGGAGAGGGAGGGGCCGAGGAGAGCACTTGAGAGAAAGTAACCTTGTGAGTATCCCTCTGACCGCAAACAACAGAAGAAGAAGGAAGAGAAGGGTTAGAAGGAGAGGTTGTGGGTAAAGGCTGTAAATCAGAGACAAGTAGGAAGGGGGAGGAGAGACGTGACGACGACGACGACGACGACGACGACCCATTCCTGCTAGAGGATTGCAAGTTACCATGGTGTGTGGACATAATATAGTGTTACTAATGCTATATCAACATACATTGATAGTTGCCAAATTGCTGGTTACCCATCAAGATATACCAATAATATTGACATAGTTACTTCCATGATGCTCTATATTACTGTCCAAGACATTAAAAAAATAAATAAATACTTCCTAAAAGCATCAGGAACTTTGTTGTAAGTGCAAACACACGCAACTAACCTTTCTTTGAAAGGCTCAAACACATCACAGGAAGTGCAACAAAGGTTTCTTAGTGGATCAGTAACACAGTGAATAAATCAATATGTTGTCGAAGTAAAACAAGTCAATTTAATCATTTAGTTCACCAGCACAACATTTAAGGGATTCACAATGTAAGCAAACCAAAAAAAAAACTTATAGACAAAGGAGATCCATTATCAGTCAAAAGAGTATCATAATCGATGAAAGCCTGGGAAAACTGCAAGGCGTGTGAATTATGAGTCAAACGATTTGAAGCATTCGAATCTAGAATCAAATTGTGCTCTTTCACCATAGTGCCCATTAAAAGGAACAAGGTATCAATGGACTCTCCTTATCATTAATAACCAAGGTAAAAAGTATCATCAGCTTCTTGGGGCAGGTGAACTTCATGCGTCCAAGTTCTTCTCAATAGTTACAGCTAATTTGAAGGAAGTCATTCCTATGTACAAAAAAACTAGTTCACTATAATCTAATTAACCCTAGTCCCAATACGTTATGGTTGTATGGTAAGTCCAAGGAGTATGCAGTCGATCTGCCATTAACCATATCCTAAACATTTCTTTTTCGAAAAGTAACATTTTGTTCATTCATAGAAAATATACAGCATCCTTAAGATTGAAAATTTCCCCATATGAAGAGAATTCCCACTTGTCGATATCAAATTGGCCTTTAGTAAGTTGGAAAGTTCCATTAATCTAACAAAATTTCATATCTCATTTAGGGGGTTCCATGTAATAAAGCTAATATATAAATATGCATAGATTTGTATTTATACAAAAGATTTAAAACTAACGTACCCAGGGTAGTTTAATTGAAGGTACACAATGAAAATCAAAGTACTCAACGACCACTCTCAAAAAAAAAAAGATACCCAATGAATTCCAAAAACACATAAAATTACTGAAACAAAGTGTCCAGAGCCATGAATTTAAATGTTTCTTTTTGAAATGGCAAAAAACAACCATCCAAATCAGGGCAAAAGAAAAAATCAAGCTTCAACCATCAAACAAGAGCCATAAATTTATCTCTTCCTATTGGAAAAAAACAAAGGAAACCTCACCCTTCCTAAATTGAAAGCAACAAGAAAGAAGAAAAAACAGGGCAGAGGAAACGCACCCGGTCTTCAGGGTGAAAGCAGGGGTGAATAATTCCATTCATGTCCAGGTAGAGGTTGTCAAACTCCATATTGTTAGGGTTTGGCTTGCTAGTATCGACTGGTATCTTAACACCATCGATCTCCATAGTCTCTTCTTCAATTACATCCTGAACAATCAGAGGATATTTCTCTGCAAGCCAACGATAAAAAGCAGGAACACCCATCTCTGATAAGTCTTACCTCAACTTCGGAGAACCCTGCAAAAAAACACTTCTCCTCTCTCCCTCTCTAAACTTTTCCCTCTCTACGCGATTTCCTGTATTTTCCAAAGACAAAAACCTCCCGTGCAGCTAAGGAGGAAATCAGATCTATATTTCTAACGCTTAAATAGGGGCGGACTTTAAGGGAAAGGACAAAAGAGTCCTCGGTCTTTGTTAAAATGACAATAAAGCCCTAAACTTTTTCCCGAAGGGAAATCGGGTTTTGTTTGTTTTAATGGTTTAAAAAGCGGATCGGTGATCCGGATCGGATATCTCAAAAACCATTTGAATAAACAAATAGGCGATCCGGATCAAAAATCGGTTGAATCGGTCGGATTAAAGTTTAAAAAAAATCCAAAAAAATTATTAAAATTTATTATAAATTTTTTTTTTTAGAAATCCAATAAAAAATGAAGGTACTACATTATTAATTTCATTTTTTTCATCAATTTGTGAATATTGATATGCTCTTTCCCTGTATAAATTTATGTTAACCATTAAATTTGCATCACATAAAAGAAAAATGATAGAATTATCATAGATAAAATATATAATTATACATGGACTATTATAAAGAGTAAACTAATCGATGAAAGAATGGTCATTAAAATCTCGTTTTGGCAAAAAACCCTAATCCACTAAAAAAATCCAAATTATTACAGCCTAACTAACAATAATCCAAAGTTATTAAAAACCTAACTAATTATAATATTATATACTTAAATTATAATTATTAGTTTACATTTTATAATTATTTTATTAGACAAATAATAACAAATTAAAATATTTTATAATATTATCTAATTTAAAACGTATTATTGACAACTATAAAAAAAATAGTACATTACATGATTTATAATGTAAAAATTAATAAATAAAATAAAATATTTGGTTATCAATGTAAAAATTAATAAAAT